CCCCCCCGGACGGAAGCTGCAGGCCAGCCTCACTCTCGGACCTGGCGCCCCACCCCAGCACCGGCTCCCGGCTTCGAGCATAGTAGCTTAGCATTTCACATTCAGCGCTTTAACCTCCATCGCCCGCAATAGACAAGTGAGTATCTTCTCAGCCTTTTCATGATATTGGAAAAAAAGATTCGCTCGTTAAACCGGTAATCCCGAGTACCTATATAGAAAGAGTGTTGGAGCTCCAGTGGGCAAAGTTTTGACTTGAATAAACTCCAGGAATTTTTTTTATGGCTGATCAAAAAGAGAGATTTGCCGTGAAAATCATCAATTTTCTCGAATTTTTCATGATTCGGCCCCCTTTTTCTCTGGTTGTGCCGCATGTAACATCCAAGTATGGAGAAACGTCATAAAACTTGTTGGGTATGACGTTTTTCGATGATTTTTGTACCACTAACTCTGCACACGTGGCTATAACCAAATTTCTATAATTTATTTTTTTAGCGGCGGGGTAGTTTTTTCAAAATCCATAGTTGAAATTCCGTAGAAGCGTACGTAAGCGCGTAGCGTTACGTATGTACGTAGTTCGTACATAGTTGAACGAACGTATCAGAGCTTTCCCGCTTGTTTTCAGCGTGGTGAACCGAGAATATTGCAGCTCCTAGAACTGAGATTACGCTTGAAACCGTGGCCGATTTGCAACTCTGTACTTACGATTCATACAAACTTTTTCCTCGGTGCTTGGCGTTTTTCCCGAGAACGACCGACCAGGATTATCGATGTTTCCCTATTGTACGCTATGGTAAAGAATCGATTATCAAGGTATTCGTTGTGAACACCTATCGATATTTCCCATGAGTTTATATGGCAGATCAATCGATATATCGCAAAGCACGGCACGCCACTGACTGACAGACAGACAGACATGAGAGTGGAGGAAATTGGACGGGCTGAGTTTGTGGATGTGAATCATGGCCCGGGGGCATTGTCGCGTCATTGGTGGCGACCGAGGGCTCAGCTTTTCGCTTTTTCCGAGTGGGAAATTGGAGCGAGTTGGAATCATCGGGCCCGGGCAAGTTTCATTATGACAGTAATCCACCGAGTTGGGCACCACGCAACGAGCCCCCGCCATCGATCCTAATTATAAGTTCAAATTAAATCCAAGCGCCCCGACACTGTTGCCAAATGGAACCGGAAAAAAAATCCCTCGGGATATTTCAGAAAAGCCAGGTTTACTCGGTAGGAAAAAGTCAACGATATTTTGTGTTCATGTGGGAATTAGACCAAGAAGTACGCTAAATGTGCGGTTAATATTTTTCGGTTGGTTTTTCTTTGGAATACATTGACCTATCTTTGAGCTGTAAGTTTGCAACCTCGGTGAAAATTCGTCGCTTGACTGACATAAAGGCGTAAGTACATATTGAGATGAGCCCGGAAAAGCATTGAATTGTATGGAAGACAGGGCTCATTGCAGAGTGTAGTTACGCCCCTATGTCAGGTAGGTGACGAATTAGTCAATGTCGCTACTTGCGGGTTGCAAACACTGAAAGACATCGAGAAAAACCAGAGTATATCAGTTCAGCAGGACACTTCCTTTAAAAAAAACACGCAACTGCGCGATGTAACAAAAATAGCGATATTTAGTTTTTTTCATCATTTAATTCGCACAAAGTCAGGATTTTCAGGGATTTCTCCCTGTAAAGCTGTGCAAAAGCTAGAAAATACTAGAAAACGTAATAAGACATCGTTACCCTCCTCTTTTTCTATTTATAAAAGTCAGTGGTAGTAGTACAAAAATTCTATTTTTACGAGGTTCTTAACATCGGAGGTCATTTATACCTTTGAGGGGGAAATAAAGGAAGTAAAAAGAATCAATGGCATTAGTAGAGTTAGGGATTTTGTCGGTATAATTCGGAAAATTGTGGAAAAGTCATGGAAATTTGATGCTTAACTGAACTTGCAACCCTGGAGTGTTCCGACCACTCCGTAGTTGCAGTTGCATAACCTCTGAATCCAAGGAGTATACGATTTCACGGTTCAGTTGATGTAGAAGCAGGGTGAAGACCGGTTAGAAAATAAGTATCAAAGCATCTACGTCAAACGAGGGTGAAGGAGGAGGAGGAACGGAGATAAGGATAGGGTGAAAAAAAGGGAGAACAGAATAAGAAAAATCCTTTCTGTAGAGGAATAAGTGCATGGAGCCCCAGTAGCTCCAAACCTAATAGGTAGATTTGCCCTCATTTGAAAGGGTATGCAAAATGAGCGCCGTGCACTGTGCAGCCTTTAAAGTGGTATTCATTAGCAGAGTGTATCGGACCACAAGATGAGGTCAGACTTCAAGGATATAAAAATGCATATTTTCTCCTTTGAAGTCCACGTNCCTAATCTTTGAGCTGTAAGTTTGCAACCTCGCTGAAAATTAGTGAGTGTCGCTACTCGCGGGTTGCAAACTCTGAAATACATCGAGAAAAACCAGAGTATATCAGTTCAGCAGGACACTTCCTTTAAAAATTGCACGCAATTGCGATGTATAACAAAAATAGCGACACGTAGTTTTATTCATCATTTAAATCGCACATAGTCAGGATTTTTCTCTGTAAAGCTGTGTGAAAGCTAGGAAATACTAGCAAACGTAACGAGACATCGTTTCTCTCCTCTTTTTCTTTTTATAAAAGTCAGTGGTAGTAGTACAATAATAATATTTTTACGAGGTTCTTAACATCGGAGGTCATTTACACCTTTGAGGGGGACATGATGGAAATGAAAGGAATCAATGGCATAAGTAGAGTCATGGATTTTTTCGGTATAATTCGAAAATTGTGGAAAAGTCAGGGAAATTTGATGCTTAACTGAACTTGCAACCCTGGAGTGTTCCGACCACTCCGTAGTTGTAGTTGCATAACCTCTGAATCCAAGGAGTATACGATTTCACGGTTCAGTTGATGTAGAAGCAGGGTGAAGACCGGTTAGAAAATAAGTATCAAAGCATCTACGTCAAACGAGGGTGAAGGAGGAGGAGGAACGGAGATAAGGATAGGGTGGAAAAAAGGGAGAACAGAATAAGAAAAATCCTTTCTGTAGAGGAATAAGTGCATGGAGCCCCAGTAGCTCCAAACCTAATAGGTAGATTTGCCTTCATTTGAAAGGGTATGCAAAATGAGCGCCGAGCAGCCTTTAAAGTGGTATTCATTAGCAGAGTGTATCGGACCACAAGATGAGGTCAGACTTCAAGGATATAAAAATGCATATTTTCTCCTTTGAAGTCCACGTCAATTACGATGGACTTTTAAACATTTCCAAAAACTGGAAAGAATCAAGTCAGCGTTTGCCAAATTTATCACCTCAAATCGTCCGCTCACCGAATAATCTAAGGTCGCTCAAGGCGCGAAGTCGACAACCGTATCTAATGGGTCATGTTGTAGAATGGAACAAATATTCTCACGTTGCGGGATTGTTTTGCGACAGGTTTGCAAATGCAATACGTAGAAGAGTAGCGAGACAATTTTTTTAAGAAAGCACTTTAGCTATTTATCAATTTATCTTAAAACTTCGTAAAATTTATGTATTTTCAATAACTTGGTTTGCCCTCGCTGATTTTGATTTTCTCGAGCACTGGAAAAAAAACACATTGGATTTAGAGTCCAGACTCTTGAAAACATTGACAAGAAAAAATACTCTAGATTCAATCGGATTTTTGCTTGAATCAAAACGAAATCCGTTTAAATTAAGAGGCTTGGTTCTTGATTTAAGCTAGATTCTGATTGAATCAAGAGTACTCTTTCTTGTCGATGTTTTTAAGAGTCTGGACTCCAGATCCATGTGTTTTTTTTCCAGTGCGAGCTCGAAGTTCGAATGGACTTTCTCCCAAGAGTTGATTCTAGGAATCCTCAATGTTCAACTTTGACGGGGGAACATGTTATATGATAGCTTGATTCTCACCCTATCCAGGGCTCCATTCAAAAGGCTCGCCACTCACAGCAGCTTCAAGTTCCTCGCTCGAAGCCCCCATCCCCCCTCACCCTTTGCATTCCGAGCGTAGAATTCCTAGTCCGAGTGGGTGCAAATACCCCGCAGGCGGTTGGGTTCATTTGAAAAAAAGCTGAGCAGATTCGCATTCGTATTCGCAGTCGAGTGAGAGAACAAGTTTCTCGGACGTGTATGAATTGGCTCATTGCGAGGGTGCAGCAATTGAGAGCCTCGCCCGAAGAACCGCGTAAGCTCCGTGGGGACCTCGCGGCTCTTAAGACGTTCTTCGGTCCGGCCGTTCAATTGCAGAACGGAGCAGTAGTGCAGTCATCCATTCGCTCGCGCAGAATGATATGACAACAACATCGCGCTAAAACCCGACGAGTGCGTTTCCGCATGGGCCCCGAAGCCCTCGAGAGCGCTTACACGCCAGGTCTCATTAGATAATGACCGTGTGGGGTTCGGACTTTCACCATTCCGTTTCGCTCCCGCTCCCACTTCGGCGTTCGGTCCGTACTCTGGAGTGACCGCTGGTAATGCTTCGCGGCAGGAAGAACAGCGTAACACCCTGTGGGAGCTTACGTATCGATGCGCGGTTTCTGGATCGAAGCACCCACCGTACGAAGTCGCAAGCTCTCCAAGGCCGCCCCCCCATACCTATCTCACGAACTTTCGGCCACTCGGTTGGAGTCCCGCTCTAAATTTTTCAACGGCCAGTGGCGATTCTCCAAATTGGCAACAGCGAGTTAGGCCCCACTGGACAAAAAAACACATTGGATCTAGAGTCCAGGCTCTAAAAAAAACATTGACAAGAAAAAATACTCTTGATTCAATCAGATTTTTACTTAAATCAAAAGGAAATCCGCTCAAACTAAGAGACTTGGTTCTTGATTTAAGCAAAAATCCGATTGAATCAAAAGTATTTTTTCTTGTCGATGTTTTTAAGTTCTGGACTCTAGATCCAATAAGTTTTTCTTTTCCAGTGCCCTTTAAACAATTGGAATATTTTTTGCGATGTTCGATGAGTCAGAAGTGTAAAAACTGTGCGGCACACAAGGATGATAGATCGCTAGAATAAATCATAAATCAATAGAGAATTTGCAGGTGTCTGAAGTTTGATGAATTTCGTGTTTAAGTGGAAACTACTGAGTGAACTGAACACGAGGATACCCTGGGTTTATG